CCACTCCTCAGACACCCACAGCTACCGCAAGCCCTTCAGCCCATGCTACGAAATCTGTAAGCCAAAGCGTCTTTGGTCCATGGCCCTGCGATGGCCAGATCACGCCACTCGGACGTAATTTGCGTCGTGGCTCCAACAAAGAGACCAGGAAGTTAGGGACTTCCCAAGCCCGGATGCATCAAAAAGCTTGGGGTGAATAGTACTAGTAGTGTTGAGGAGGCTTTCGGCTATTTTCGGGTTCTATTCGAGGTTTCGACTGACGCTTAAAACATCATTCAAAATGTATTTTGCAAGTTTGGCCGGCGAGCCTTCCGCCCTCAAGAGACGCAGGACATGTCAAGTCGTGAAGCCGACAATGGGTCAAACTTCAAGCCTCTTCGGAGGTCGCCCAACTACCGGGTGCGCGTTGCAAGCTGCTTTAGGATGTGGGTGTCAGGTCGTGAGATTAGGATTCTGCATGCGCAAACCGCGTCTCGGTTTGCGGGCTCAGGGCTTCTGCAGTCGGATGTACATGAGCATGAACCGGGGGCAGGTTCCATGTTCGGAGAAGGTGTAGATCTTCGAGAGTAAGAGGGCTTGCTTCAGCTGGACACGACGGTCTACATTCTACATCGTGGCCGAGAGCGAGAATGAGAGTATAACCCCCAAGCTTTACAGTATAGACTTTGTGTGGCGAGCAGTCGTCTGAGATCAGTATACGGCTGGCCCAACGACAGACCATGCCAACACCTTCGACTGCACCGACATCCTCAGTACGGGATCTCCACCGTGCTCGACGTGCTCACCCTAGCTCACGCTAGTACAGTGTGCACCGTTGCTCACCCACATGCCTGTCCTTGTTTTCAAACGACATATGCTGGTCGGCCACGCAGCAACCGTTTGTCTCGCAACTGCGACTTTCATTGTCCACACTGCCGCTTCGGCAACAGGGGATCTTCAATTTGAAAAGCATCTCGTTGCCAAGCTCCTATGTGAGAAGGCTCCTCCTTGCAACGAGCTGTGTGTGTGTGTGTGTGTGTGTGTGTGTGTGTGTGAGCGCACTTCGGTTCACCGAGACAGCACTTGATGCTAACGAACCTGCGGAACCAATTCAGCTTTCGCCGCACGTCTTGTGTTTCGCCATCCTGTCGTCGGACTGTGTGTTCGAATTGGTGAGTGTCAAGCCAATCTTGATATATGTCAATCGTCATAACTCAAAGCTTGACCCAAGCGACCCGTACTTGGATTCACTGATGATAGCAAGATAAGCCTTACTGACCACAACCGTACCGCCACAGAACATACATCAGTACGCGCTTGAATTGTGCGTCAGGTGTATCATGCGCCCAGCCCCCTGTCGACGACAGCACCATGCAGGTTTCTTGGTTGCGGCTACAGTTATTCTTTTATTTGGGGACCGTTGCGATGTTCGTGATTTTGCGCCCTCGCAACCACGCTGCTGAGAGTTTTTGTCTTGGCCCTACCCTACACGCCCTTCGTGTGCCTTCTTGCACCACCTATGTGTAGCAAAGCAGAAGCAACTGGTTCAGAAGACAAACAGCCTTCTTCGCAGTTCTAGGCGAACTTAGCGGTTGCTCACACCTTGCACCCTATATATATACTGCTAAGCACACAAACTTGGCAACAACTCCCGTCTCCCCAATCTAAAATGAAGGAGTACAGTACCGCATGAACGGGGACACAGGTTTCACAGTTCCAACCTGCATGTCCAGCTCAAGAGCTGACCCCCAAACATTCTGTTGAAAGTACAGGGCATAGGCCCCCTAATTTGGGGCCCTATACTACTAAGGGTACTTTATAGGAACCCCCATTAAGGGATCTACTTTATATTTGTTTTAGGGTCTTCGGTCTGTATATGCGGCGCTGAACAGCGGGGACAGCGCTCCCTTGAGGCCGCTGCTCAGACACGCGCACGCTTGAATGTATACATACAGACATACATATGGGTGGTTGTCAAATTATGGTCCCTTTTTTTGGGTCCCTAATGTAGTACGGCACCCAATACTTAGGGTACCCAAGAAGGGACCATGATTTTGACAACCACCCCATACAAACATACCAAATTTTTACAGGCAAGGTTTCGATTGGACTTTCAGTACGTACAGTAGTAATCATGTCAGCAAAACCTTGGTGTCACTCGTTATTTCGGCTCCGAAGCCCAAAACCTTTTCACCTTCGGGATTGCAAACCTTAGGAGTGAGGGATGCAGGCCAGAGGACCGAATAAATCCAGATGGAACTGGGAACGTCAATAACATGTCAATACATGTCATCTGAATCGCTTATACGACGTGCAGAACGCCCCGCGAACCACGTTTACAAAAATGGCGTCGATGATTGTCTAGTGGATCTGTTCCGCATCTGTGCGATGCCCAATTAGCGCTTCCCAAGAGTCTTCATGGCTTGTCGAGCAGTCTCAGGGAGCCTTCTTTGGCCTGCTCGCCTGGGAAAGTTTGAGATCCATGGACATTCTGGGAGCGAGTGCCAGCTCCCTGTTCATGCCAAGCCTTCGCGTCCTGCGAAGGGTTTCGGGCTTACGACTGCGTCTTCAACCCCCACAAAACCCATGAGCTTAGAATGGAAAGCTAGGCTGGCTGCATCGCCTCCGCGGCCGGCTTCTCCCGTGGTTGTGGCCGCAGACAGTTGCAATGTGGGGTTCATGGGGAACTCACACAGGCAAAATCCTGAAGATGGGTCGTGCTTAACATGAAGGAGCCGACGGCTTAGTTACGGGGGTACATTCAAGGCTGTTGAAGAGACCGGGAAACAGGTTTCAGTCAACTCCGAAGAAGCCTGATTCAGCCTACATCGTCTGAGCCAACAACACTGAATTTGATGTCAGGCTGACCCCGTACTTTAAGACAGAAATAGATGAGCTTGCACCAATTATCGCTCCTGCGCTCGCCATCGGATAGGTTCTGAGCAGAGAAAACTCTTGAGCAGTTTGGCAGTTGGACACATAGCCTGGGACCATGCAGGAGGCTTGTAGCTGAATCCCTCGGCAACAAAGCCAGGTTTCTGCGTCTTGCTTCAAGTTCTGTGGCCCCCACCCTGTTATGCGGTCCCAGCCACGCTTCAGGCAATAGCACATAGAATCACATGGATCCGATGACGGGTTTGTGAGTTTAGTAGTCTACATGTTGCATTAGATCCGAACCCGTGATGCCCATGTCCCGAGCTGTCAAATCTGCATTCGTTCTACTAAACATGCAAGGGCCCCTACATGATCAAATCCTGAACCTCTAGTGAACTTAAAGACAACATAAGCCTTCAACCCTACTTGTAGCCTCCTAAACTTTCCTAAACAGCCGAACCGTAAAGCCTTGCCTTCCTTGTGCGAGTGCTGCGACACATCCAAAGTATAGACCGCCATAGAGTTTGAAATGCACCAAGCCCTTAACCCCATGCCAAAACCTCAAAACACCCAAGCTTCAATTCCGGGAGTCTTAGTCCAGAAGACAGAAAGAACGGACGAAAAACAAAGAAATAAACAAAGCACCTGAATTTACATGTGTACCTGCGTGTAACAACACATATACACAAACGACAGATAGATAGACGGGTGGGTAGATCGATAAAAAATGGTTGGACGGACACACAGATATTTGTAGATAGATAGATGGGCACATAGCTAGATCTAGGCGAGAAGCTACAAGTAGCTAGCTAGCTAGCTAGCTAGCCAGTTCACTAGGTAGGTAGCTAGCTAGGTAGGTAGGCAGGTGGGTAGCAGGTAGGCCGACAGTTGGATTGGTGGTGAGTAGATGCAGATAAGTACATGTTGATATGTCCTGACCTTGTGAATATGCACCTACGTGTTTACATGCGTGTTTATCCATTTACATGTTCTTTGGGTTATGCTTATGCTTTTAAAGGGTGCGGTGGATAAGGCTTATAGGGTTTAGGGCGACTTCAAGAGGTTTGGATGCAAAAAAGGGCGTATTAGAGTTTAGCTAGGGCGTAAGGGTACCGCCTTCAACCTGGCATTGCTATCTAGCCTCCAACCTTGAGGCTCGGGGTTTGGCTTTGTGCGTTTGGGGTTCGAGCGCGGGGACTCGAATAAGTAGTAATATTGCTCCGTGGGGCCTCCTCAATCTAGTATATGCTCAGTTATCAAACCTCCAAATCCCGAGTCTAGCTATCACAAGAACAGGCTAGTATATTCGTATTTTAGGTTAGTGTTTGATACACATTCTTGGGGGTGATTCCGAAGGATACGGCTCGTGACTCAAATAAATGCCGTCAAGAAATAATTCAACACGACAACCCAAAGGGCACTGGGTGTGTCGGTAGCCCTTGAACTTCAGACGATGCTTTTGCCCTCGTGTATCCCTGAACATGCGGAGGCGGGGTTTATAGTTTGAGGCTTGGCATTGCGCGGCAGCGGCGCCCGTGCCGCCTTCAGCAGAAGGGGTGGGCTTCAGACTTTGTAGGACCTGCACTAGCATAGTGAGTTTTGTAGGTTTCTGCCTGTTCTTCTCGGGCTTCGGAATTGGGAAACTAAACATCTACTCTAGGACCTGAAGACCAAACAGCTTAGTACACACTATGGGGTTAAACGTTCAGGGTGTGGCGGGGTGCATATCTTGCTCGCGGCCTTGTATTTACCTGTGAATCTGCCCTGGCATCACCCTCTGGGACTATGTTGCTTTTTGTGGCGTGGCATCTTTGTTCTAGACCGAGGGACACAAACTCGAAAGCTACAAGGGACTCTGCAGCTTTGCAGCTCTTCGGATGGCTCAGTTGGGGGGTTCGTTTTCAGGCAAAGTGCTCATATTCATAAGGGTGGCGGGTAAAGTTGAGGTGATCCTTGTGAGCAGTGTTAGGAACTCTTAGGGCATGGCAAGGGGTCCCAGGGGTGCTTAGCTTGGGGGGTCCTTTGTGCCATCCCTGCAACATCTGGCAGCATGCTAACGGAGCACTGTCGATGGAAGACGTGGTGAATGTAAGAACTCAGCCATTGTTGACCAAGAGGGTTCCACTGTACCGGTTCTCTGGCACGCCATGTCGGCTGTGTCGTTCCTCGTAGCACTCGTGGCTGTGATGACCATCCAGACATTCGAGGCCCATTCGACACCTGATGTAGCATGTAACGTCTTCTGTATTTGTGTTTCGGTACGGAACTTCGGAAACTCGAGACGAACCGTTGACAGACCCATGAACAGAAGTCCGCTGCGGGTTGTACACGTGCTGATGGCATTCATTCCAAAGAAAACCCTGGCTGTTCGATGCTTGGAGAGATCTGGGTTTGGAGAGTGGGTTCCAGCTAAGTTCAGCTTCACATGCAACTCCCCCGTACAGAAAAGCCACAGCAGCTGCGTCAGTTCGAGTTCACTGCGGGGTTTGTGGTTTAGGTTCCTCATCTCAGCCACCGTTTGCCCCCTTTGGGTTCAAAACATGACGTTTAAGGGAACCATTCAAGGGAGCAAAAACACGTGTTCTTTCAATAAGACTACGGCAAATACATTCGATAAGAAACGGCGCAGGTGAGATCAGACCCTGGAAATTTCTTATGGGGGCAACCTGGAAATTAGAAATGTGAGATAGGTTCAGGGTCTGAATTGGATTTCTAAAACAGTACCCCCAGCCTCAGCCCTCCAGCCCTCCAGCCCTCCAGCCCTCCAGCCCCTCCAGCCCTCCAGCCCTCCAGCCCTCCAGCCCTCCAGCCCTCCAGCCCTCCAGCCCTCAGCCCTCCAGCCCCTTCAGCCCTCCAGCCCTCCAGCCCTCCAGCCCTCGCCCTCCAGCCCTCCAGCCCCTCCAGCCCTCCAGCCCTCCAGCTCTCCAACAATCCCTCTGGTCCTTCTTTCAGGCCTTTTTGTGGCAACTCGGGCTGGAGGGTTGGAGGCTGGAGAGGGTTGGAGGAGGGCTGGAGGAGGGGTGGAGGAGGGTTGGAGGAGGAGGGCTGGAGGGCTGGAGGCTGGAGAGGGGAGGAGGGCTGGAGGGCTGGAGGGCTGGAGGGGCTGGAGGGCTGGGGCTGGAGGGCTGGAGGGCTGGAGGGCTGGAAGGGCTGGAGGGCTGGAGGGCTGGAGGGCTGGAGGGCTGGAGGGCTTGGAGGGCTGGAGGGCTGGAGGGCTTGGAGAGCTGGGTTGGTGGATACTGGAGGCTGGAAGGTGAAAGGGTTGGGGGGTTGTTTGATTAAGAAATTCCGTGACATCTGGACGCTGAGCTAAGAAATTGCGATCTAGCGAAACCCCAATTTCTTGTTTGAAACGATTTCTTATTAAATGCGTTCACCGTAGCATCAAGACTAAACTAAACCAATGTAGAGGATAGAGAGAGAGAGAGAGAGAGAGAGAGAGAGAGAGCCAGAAAGAAAGACAGATAGAGAGAAAGAGAGAGAAGCGAAAGACATTTTTTAAATAAGAACGAAAGAACGACAGAAATAACAACAAAACAAACAAACAACACAGAAATAACTTAAGAAACGAATGAGTAAACAGCCACAAATCGATACAGAAAAAATAGGGAAAGAGAGAGGAAAAGAAAGAAAGAACGAACGACAGTAAAATAACGAAACAACAATCAAGAACCACAAAGAGAGAACCCCAAACCTGGCATACCAGCATGGTGTTTGCAAAGGGGGGGCATGCCACCCCCACCCCCACCCCGTTTTTAAGCCGTGCAAGCGTGGTATGAAGAACACCGTGCCATCACTAAGACTTGCTGCGCAACACCCACATGAATACTTGCAATGCCTGGCACACCAAAATTGTGTTGTCAAAGGAGGGGGCTGCCCCCCCCCCCCCTCCCCCCCTCCCGCTTTCTCAGTTTTTCAAGCCGTGCAAGAGTGCTGTAAAGAACACCATGCCGTCAGCAGGAACTGCTGCAAGAACCACATGAATCCTTTGCGACCACCAGCAATCTGCAATCCTTTCAAAACCTGGCATGCCAGCCATTGTGTTTGCAAACTCCCCCCCCCCACCTCTAAGCCGTGCAAACGTGCGTTAAAGAACACCGTGCCATCACCAGGACATGCTGCAAGAACCGTATGACTCCGTTGCGCTCACCAGCAATTTGCAAGAACCACAGGAAGTGCTGCAAGAAACACATGAATCCTTGCAAAGGCTGGCATACCAGCATTAGCCATGCAAGAAACGCTTCCCCGCCTTGTCCGGTGGAAGGGGAGGGCTCTCCCTCTCACCCGGAAAACGTCACGATTTGGGGGCCTTGTACGGGCCTCCCCAAAAGAGCTATAGATAGGGACCCCAGTCACTTCAGCTGCCTTATCTGGCCCTCAAAATCCTCGCAGGCCCCTCAAAGACCATTTGGCACCATTACCACACCTTCTCCGGTAGAAGTTCGAGCGTCACGGGAACCCAACCACAAGCTTCCTTGCCTGGCCCGGCGGGATTCAGCGTTCTAGTGCCACCACACTGATTGGGATTTGTTTTGATCTCTTCACAAGTTCTTCGATCCCTCCACAAGACAGGGGTGCCACGCCTCAAAGACTCAAAGGCCAAGCGCATACAAGTCCAAAAGCAAAGTTTCATCAATCACTTCTGAC